CACCCCCCGCAGCAGGGGCTACGCTGGAGGCAGAGACGAAGGGGCGAGGCAGAAAAAGCAGAGAGGGGCCCCCCATGCCCCCCGTGGGCTCGCGGGGTTTTCCCCCTTCACCGGAGCTCAGTCTGAGCACAGAGAACGCGGCCGTGGGCCTTTGCCTTTGAACGAGAAACACAGGCTGTGGAAAATGCCACCACAAGTCTTGCCCCGGCCCCAACCCACTCCGTGTGCCCCTCAGACATCCGACACGCAAGGCACCTCACTGCAACCCCCCCGGCTGCGTTAAGAGTTTAAAGTAAATATATAGCTGGAAAAAAAAAAAAAAAAGAAAACAGAAACGTGCAATGCAAATTGCACCTCTGTCATAATTTGGCATTAACTCATTACAGTGCTGGCCATCTGTGGAAGGACAAAATTCACCCCAGGTGACAAAGAAGCACATGGACATGGTGAGTTTCAACGGGAGCCGGATGAGGACCCTTTGGTTCCCTGCCTTTCCCGCCCCCGCGTGCCCTTAACTCGGGGGGCTTTGCCAAGCTCTTGTTTCCAGCCAACTTCTGCTCCTCCCAGTCTGCCATCTCACAGCGCCTGCAGGCATCAGCTGCTGCTTACATGAGAGGGGTGAAGACCTGAGAACACAGACCCAGAAAGGAGGCCGCAGGGAATACGGCCTCAGAAAGTCAAAGCTTTGGATAGGGCCATAGGAAATGGGAAATGCTCAGGATCTGGGGTGCCAAGGGGTTGGGGGGGGGCACAGTTGAAGCCCTAAGTACTTAATGTACAGTTTTTCCCATGCTAAGCATTAGGGAAGCTGGCCCCACAGGTTTCTTTTTCAAGACTGGGCTCCTCCGAGGTGCCTCACACCCAGCGGGCGCAGAGGGAAGGTCCTCCCGCCTGCCCCAGACTCGCAGCGGCCGGTCATTGGCCATCCTCCAGCCCTCTGTTCCTCAAGGATCATTTCTGATCACGTCCTCCACTTAACCTTATCATTGTACCATGCTGCTTGATTTCTTGAAGAGCCGTCACAACACACGGGCTTTTATTCCTTGTTCTAGTCCCCCTGAAAGTGTATTTCTAGTCTAACCAGTCCTCGAATAAAGGCAGTTACGTCTCACTTTCCACTTGCCACTCCCCCCCTAAACCTACAAGCAGGCTCTGTCTGCTGTGGGTCCAGGCCTCTATTCTGCCTCCAGATGGATGCAGTTCCATGGGTTTGGGGAAAGGAAGCGTCTTGTCCAAGCGAGAAGGGTGGGGCTGATCTGTCTAACTGGGATGGAGTTAGATACAAGCCTGGGAAGCTGTGGCACTGCCAGATAAGAAGAGGGGGGAAGGCATGAGGTGGCAAAGCAGCCCGGGCTTCGTGCCAGTCCCTCTGGAGAGGAGAAGTGGTGACAGCAGCAGCCAGTCGGTCTCCCCGAGCCGCTATCGCAGCGCAGCAGCATTCCCCATCTTCTTCCTGTATCTCTGTGCTCACGGGGCCGGCTGCTGCTATGTGCACGTAATCAGGCAACCAGACAGTGCCATCTCCTTGCTTCTAGTAAAGCCCCACAGGGGGAGAGGTGGCGATACCGCGATCCAGCAGTTACTGAAGGAAGAGACAGAACAAACCTCCTGCTGGAAGCCAAGATGAGGGAAGCCACAGCTTTGGTTATTAGCCCTTAGTAAACAAACAAAATGCCACCCATCAAACTAATCATCCCCATCTCTTCTAGCAAGGAGTGCTGCGAGATCTCCGATAAGGTGGAAACCGGAGAAGCCTGGTCACACAAGGAGGCACAGCGATCTTGTCAGGGCTGCCCTGAGGGTGGGGGCGTTTCTGAGAGGGAACAGCACACACCAGAACAGCTCAAGTGTTTGTTCACTTCATCTTTCAACCTAAAATTAAGTTTTGAACTAAACAAGGGTCCTCAAGTGTCTGTTCCCCTATCCCAGCTCCCACTGCAGAAACGAGGCAACATCTCTGGATACAGGAAGTTCTTCAAGTCAAAGACACTCTTCCTAAAAATATTTCCTTCCCAAGGTCCATAGTAGCTATTGGCAAAGAAACAGGGAATTAAACGTAGGAAAAAGGAATGGAGAGGGAACTACTGAAGTACAGGTGTTCAAAAGAACATAAAACTGCAATGAAAAATAGTTATAAGCGCCAAATAGAGGAGTTCTGACCAAATTCTTTTTTCACTGATGGATGGGTAGCTCAGCTTTTCTAGGACCCCTTCAGTCAGCCCTTCCAACCCAGAAATTCAAATTCACCTTTCAGTTTCTCTGCCACGCTGCCTTTTTAAGGCACTGCGATTTGAACCCAACACCCACAGCTGGAACAAACTAAAAATACTCCCTCCTCTGTGCCCTGTTGTTTGAGCATAAAGGAGGTCACACAGCTGTGCCTCTGACTGTCCTCACAATATCTCATGCTATAAATACAGCAAGGAATACTGAAAAAAACCAAAGTGGTTCAGCATTACTAAGCTCAGCACCACTCCATCTCGAGTCCTAGTTTTGCTTTCATCAAATGCTTCCCTCAAGGTTTAAAACCCCGCATTTCGCTTTAATACACAGGAAGAGGCAAGAAAGCACCGGCTGTTACCGATCAGATGGGCTACAGCCCTTCGAGCTCTGAGGAGCTGCAGGTTGTCAGCCGGGCAAGTTGGTTTCATTTATCACAAGAACAGGCCTTTCTGTCTCCTTCCCCAAGACACACACCACAGAGCAAGCGTTATAAAATTAAAGTTCCGACATTCCTGCAGGCTACACTCTAGCCTACGCAATGCAGTCATCTCCCCATAATTAAGGTTCCTAATGATGTGCTGCATAGTAGCAGAAGTAACACAATCTTTTACAACTGCTCAAGAGCTGCAGGTCAAGGATCCAACTTCTCGCACTCTGCCTGCCCGTTTCCACTGCTCCTGCTGCCTTCTCTCCGGGCACAGGAGAGCTGACCTGCCACACCACCATTTTTCAGAGCCTCAGAAAGCCAGCCATCACATCACAATTAGCAAACACCACAAAGCTTCAGAATTATCAAATGCATCTCATGGCTATGGACCAACCCACGCAGCGTGTTCCAGAAAGTCACCTTTTAACACCACAGCACTGCCCAGTGCCTCAGTATCGACAGGCACACAGGAGAATATTTTTGTGCAACAGGCCTGGCCTTCCCTTCCCCATTGGGCCCCTCTGAGCACACCCTGCTGCACACCCCAGAACTGCTACACACCGTTCTTTAGCTTTAGGTCAGCGTCACTCGAGGAAGTGACAGGCAAATGGGAACCATGGAAGGCTGAACAGTCGCCGCCGCAGTCCTGTCATTCTGGTCCAGCGCTCAAGTCCTAAATGAGATTATATTTCTGGCTGTTTGCTACGGGTAGGAGGGAGACAGAGAGTAGATTTAAAGTCCTGATCAGCTGAGCATGAATGTGGAAGATCAAAGGGTCATTCAGCATACAAGCTAAGCTTTCCCTCATTGTCCTTGAACAAAATTCCTCTCACTCTAAACTGTGGAGTAAAACGCCTGCCTGTCTGCCTCCCACTCTATCCCCAAGAGAGATGGCTGCGTTTCACTACTGGACAGTTTCTGCACTCAAATGTTTTGAGATGAAAAGCTCTAAAGAGCAGCAAGATAAATAAAACTGCAGTTTATTAAAAGAGACTAACAGATTATTCACCAGACCAGCCAAGCTATTTCACAGTCTGGTCATGCTTGCAGTGAAAACAGTGGGAGTTTTGGGAACAGAGCACAAGCCCTGCTAAGAGTAAGGAGACGTTATGAAATAAATAGATCATTTTCACCAAGTCATGGAAAGGCAGGAAGCCTCTCCTAATAGCATGAATCATCAATGCACCAGGAAGAAAGAGTGCACTTTGCAGTAATCGCTCATGTCCAGCACTGCCAACACCTTAATAGAGCATGTAAATGAACATGAGGAGTCAAGTACCGCCAGATCAATTCAAAACAGGCAAGGGGCTCAAAACTACAGCCATAACGAAGCACGTCTCATACCTGCTGCTGCAACATCCTCCGCTGCTGCCTGGGTTCCTTCTACCCACTAAAGGGCCATCTGATCATCCCACCGCTGTCACCCTGCAGCTTCTACTGCTGGAAAAAGAGACAGAGCAGGGATGAAGTTTGTTATGTTCTCTGGGATCCTTTCATCACACACTTGCAGAAGTTTGGGTACGTGAGTTCCAATTTTCTTTGATACCACCATCAGTGCTGATGGCATTCAGAGCCATCCCCCGCTTTGTGCCAGGCCGTGCACCCATGCAGGAGCTGGCATTTGAAAGCTCAAAGTGACACACAAAGGTCGTCTGCAGCAGGACACAGCACATCCACAGGACACCAGGACTTGTGATCTGTGCTGGTAGATCCCACTCATCTCACTGAGATATGTTTCTCCTCCCATGTCCAACCACATGGATTCAAGAGTTAGCCAGCATCAGAGACTTAGTAAGATTTCCCAGAATAACATGGGCTGCATTAGATGCAAAACATTCACGATTAAGGAATGGCAGCTTGTGTAGGAGAACGTGTTAAAGGAAGCTTTATGATTTTAGGATCAGCAAGCCCATGGTTTCTCAGTTTGCACAGCAGAGTGTCAGCAATTAGAGCTCTAGTTCACCCATCAGCTACTGTCTGGCAAGGCATGGCAGCTCCACCGCACAGCACCACCTTTCCATTTCCTGAAACCCAATTAAGGTTAGAAAGTGTTAGAAACGCGATCTAGAAAAAAAAAGTTTACATAAAGGGCTGTATTGGGCATAAGAATATTATTCCCTCATAGATACAAGGCAATCCCAAGACAAGCTCCCCAAGGGGTGCTGCTGAACTTTTCCAGAACAGGGAACTTGTGAATTTGGAAGCACAGGTAAATAAAACTGTGTGCTAACAACTGGCACAATGTAATTGGGAAAAAATGCAGACACTGAAGAAAATAACCTACTTGGCTCACCCCACAGCTCAGCAAGCCAGACGTTCATATGGGAAGGAACTTTTTTTTTTTCTGCCATGAATAATTACAAAACCAGGAGTTTCAAAGGAAATCAGCAGTTCCAGCTGGCACATCAACCTTACCCTAGGAACAGCCATTTTGCAGCAGCACACTTCTAACAGGACACAAGCCCCCAGAAAGCAGTAACATTGCTCACCCCGATCTTTACTTATCTGACAAATTTCTCCAAGTAAGACGATGGTTTTTTTCTAATTAGAAGTACAAAGGACATTGATCGTATCACGTAATACAAACTGGTGTCAAAGCTACCGTTCCCATCGTGTGACATGCTTCCTCCAGATATATCCTTCCATTCTTCATCCATTCTGCATTGGCAATTCACATTCAATTTGGTGTTTGGCTCCTTCAGCTTTAATGCCCAGAGCTCATCAGTCTCCTAGGAAACTAAGGGAAAGGTAAGCCTGCCTGAACAGAGAAGCCGCCAAATTGATGTGTATTTGATATCCGAGTAAGCCAGACCATCCCAGCAACGGTGTTGCTCAATGTACCAAACTGGTAGTAGTTTGTTTTCAACATTGTCTTGCCTAGCTCTGGTTCTTACTTCCACCTTGTCTTACTCCAATCCTCTCTTACTCCTTGTCTTACGGTTGCTTTATTGACTTGACCTTTGGCTGAGCCTCTAAGCGTACCCCACCCTTTAGCTTGGGGGGACATTTGGTTTCTCTGTTACCCGCCTCCTATTTTCACTCTGGATCTAACCAGTAGGCCCATCCTAAATTATCCCTGTACCTCCACCACTGCAGGCAACTACTGAGGCACAGAATACATGATTAGGGACCACTCTTAATTAGCAGACCACACAAAGACAAATTCTGTCCCTACTATATTCACATATAACCTGTTCTCAATGTCCCCAGAGTTCTTACTACAGTCAAGATATTCATGTCAGCCTGGAACTGAGCTACAAAGTCCGTGGCTAGTGGCCCACAGTCAGTTTTATGAAAAAGAACCGCCCACGGGATGGGCTCAGAAATGCCAAGCAGGATAAAGTTTCGCCTTTACTTCCCACATCAGTGTCATTTTTGGTGACAAATGTTTCTTACACCTGTGAAAGTTTGTGTCATTGGGCTGAACAACATGAGCAGAGTTTTCCTTTAAGGAAGCATGCAGCAGACTTGATTGATTAGAAGCAAGGCACTAGCATCAGTGCCAGGCAGTTGGAGAGCACTGCCTAGACTGGAAGGAATGTATTAAAGGAGCAGATCACAAATCCAAAAGCAGGCAAGAGAATCCAAAAAATAACCCATTTTGGCAGGAACAGGATGAGGATGGCATAAAAATATCTGGCCTATCAACAGAGTTTAGTGCTGCCAGGGTAAAATGTACTTTTATTGCAACTATTTAATAATTAGTTTATACTATGAGAACCAGGGGAGGGAGGGAACCAGGAAGTGTGTAACCAAGTGAAAAACTTCTGCTTTCAGCAAAACTCAGGCTGGCTCTTTTTTTCCATTACTAAAAGAGAAGAAAGATGTAGGCCAAACTGGACTGACCTTGCTCCTGACACCAGCAAACACAGGCTCCACTCAGATGTCTGCATGCCAGAGCCCCGGGGAAAGAGCGAGTGCATGGATTCTGGTCAAGTTTACCAAAATACCCCTATCTATCTACAGCTAGCTGTGTGCTGCAGGACCTTCAGCTCAATGCATGGTACCTGGCCACGGTTCTTCATACAGGGGTTTCTGTGACTATTTATGCTACAAGTCAGTCTCCGTTCAAATCTAAACGGGCTTCAGGCTTTAAAAAAAATAAACACCCCCCCAGATGTCTGCTGAACTGTCTGCAAACACATCCTCTCAAAACTGGAGGCCTCCTGACATGCAACAGCTGATGAATATTTTTTTTTTTTTTAATGTGAAAGTAAAAAATACTATGTCAATCTGCAAATAAACCCCACAGGCCAGACTAGCTTCAGCACTACGATTGTCTGAATTAAATACATTCATTGCTGTCGGGTTTGCTTCTGAAGCGTACAGAGGCCCACTGGGGAGCTGGCCTCTTCAGCTGCAAACAGAAGTCAAGACTCAAAAATATGTAAGGCCAAGCTTGTTGCTAGCCCAGTTCCACAGCAGATTTTCCCACATTAAATTCCCTGCCCCACGCCTTCTACCACCTGTATACACATATCTGCATTTAACCTGCCTGTGCATCGCTGACTACACTTTGCCAAGAACCAAGTTCAAGCTTCTTAGCTAGCGACAGAATAATTTAGGCTCTAACCCCCGCTCAGAGCCAGGCCAATGTAGATCAGGTTGCTCAGGCCCCGTCCAAAAATACAGCCGGCAAACAGCAGCTAGCCCTCCGTTACTCTACAGTAAAAGTGCCCTTGTAAGACACACTGACCCACCCCCATGTGGGTCTTTAAGATCAGGAATTCTTCAAGCTTTACATGCTTGGGTCAAGAGGTTCTCTGATGCTGCTCTTACTGCCCAGACCTACCACACCTAAAAAACAAACATTTAAAAATATTAAGCTGGAACCCGAACTAGAGAGAAGCCACCTCTACTCACCTTCTGAAGACGTGAAAGCAAAGGCAGCAGCTGCCCTGGATCTTCATATCTGCATAACAGCACTCCGGGTTTTTGCAGCACTTCATTATCCTAGTCCCTCTGTAACCCAGCAGTTGGACTGAGATGCCCCAGAACTGGGCTGAGATGATACCTAAAAGCAAATAAGATTTATTCAAGTATAGCAATTCGATATTTCTATAGTGCATTTTCATTATATAGCATTTCTCTCGCTTGCTCCAAAACACGCTTAAGTAGGTGAAGGAGCCCTGCAGGAATTCATCATAGCAAGTAACACACAAAGCAATTGAACTGAATGCTTTAACATTTATAAAGCACTTAACTGAAAAACCTGAAGTACTTTACAAGCATTTCTTCTGCTTCATAAGAATTTCTACATAAGCGAGCCTATGTTACATTATCCCTAGCACAAGCAGCTCACTCAATGACGTATCTCCAGAGCAAGTGGGAACAAAGGCAGGAGATTGGAGTTTTAAACCTAATTTCAACCTATTGATGCCTGTACCTGTTTATGCAGATTGGCTTTGGTGACAATTCCCTTCATCGCCTGTATTTTCTAAGATTCAGCAAGAGATTTTTTTTTTTTTTTTTTTAATACGACAGTGAATGTACCTAAGCCTAAGTTCCAAAGAGTTTTTAGTGAGCCCAAAGGCCCGGAGAGATTTCAACAGATTCAGCAAGATCTTCCGGACCAAGAGATTTCAGGTAGCTAACTGCTGATATCCAAGGCAATCTGGCACCTACATATATTCAATAACCAAGGCTTTAAAAACCAAAAATCACTTTTGTGTGATTTAAAAATAAATTTCAAGTCATCAAACACTTGCTAAACCTTCTTCTGGTGTTAAATGTTAAAGTATCATGAAATTCCTAATTTCCTAGTTGGAAAATTCTGCAAGAGTTAAGAGACTGCAACTTTGTCTTAAGAACCTTATTAAAGGGAGCTCAACCCCAGTGCAGATCCTTGTAAGCAGAAGCTACATCAGTTTTGCACCCTGAAGAAACCGCTCCCTCTCTTCCCAAGCCAATTCCCCTAGCTTGCCCAACTTCCCTAGCTTGCTCAGGGTGAAGAAGCTGTTTCATGCACTGACATCTAGTGGTGATGCCAGCATGGAGGGCACCTGGCAGCACATGTCCCTTTGTGGTTTCCCCCAGAACAGACCTATAGTTTCACCTCCAACAAATGCCAGGGCTGGAGCTTCTTCAGTACCAACCCCTGGCACACAGCCGAGGGCTGGACACAACCTTCACATACAAATTAATGAAAAAAAAATATGTTTATTTCTGCCATAAGCCTCCTAAGTTTGGGCTGGATTTTGCACTGAAGTGCGGTAGCAGTGAGTTCAATCCTTGCAGTCTGTCTACTGGCAGATACACACACAGAGAAAAGTTCTTGCAGGCTCTGCTGTGGTCATAACATGATCTAACTGTTGCTCTTCTAAGAGCATGAGACAGCTTGGCCAATACAAGGCCATCTCCCCTTCTCATTGCCCCCATCCTCTACACACAGTGGATTCTCTAGAGTTATGTCAATTCAGTGTTCAAACTGCAGAGGACTTACCGCTTGCATTACCATCTTAATTAACAGGAGATAAGCCAGCATGGGGAACTGTATTCCTGGCTTCCATTCAAGCACTGCCACCTCTAAGAAAGTTATTAACCACCACCCACTTCTGTTTGCTTTGTTTTTCCAGTAACATCCTGGTGGTGGTGGTAAGTCCCACTAATATGCATTAACATAAACAACTTATTTCAGACAGAAGCTTCAGTAACACCTAAGAAGCTTAATATTTTATTTGTTTATGTGATACATTTAAGCACTAGAGCTCTCATAACGCAGATTTTTTGAAGGAAGAATCCTTTAGCCGTCATCAACAGGCAACTATTTACACGGGGTGTGGTAACATGCAACTTTTCACAGGGTCATCATATTCTTTAGTCTTTTTCATTCAAGCAAATCTGCAACTGAACTTGGATATTTGCAAGGTCCAGATACACGATGTCAAAACTAGTCTTTAAGCTAACTGTCATTTTTCTACCACAGGCAGATTTCATTTACTGCAAGAAGAGATAAAAGATGAAGTTGTAACCTACGAGCTCTTTGAAACTGCCCCACATTTCCACTACAGCCCTTCATCAGTTTGCAGCATTAGACATGTTCACTCTCTTGAGGCCCGAGCTTTGTCTCACAAAAAAATACATAGGAGGCGAGCAAATACCAAGTGTTCAGCCAACTCCTCCCTTTTCTTTCCATTAAGGAATAGTGCACTACTTGTCTTTGTTCCCATTTCTCTTGCCCTTTGAGGCAATGCTTTAGTTCATCCCAAATTTATCTTAAACATTTAAAGTCACTCTAATAACTTGAGAGCATAATGGTTGTTAGCCTAGTACTAGATTTTGGCTCAACTGCCATTTAAAATTCCATTAAGTTCCAGGGAGTCTTGTCTTTTCTTTTCCTTTTAAAGTAGGAAGAATCCAGGCATTTGAGCAGCAGTGTTTTCTCCTGCAGCCACTTTTCAGTAGGTTTGCAAATTGGTTCACTGAAATAACCAGACTTACTAATGAGCTGTTCATGCACCCATAGTTTTCGTGGGCTTAATGTGTATAATTGTAAGATCAAATGCATGCTTATCTGCAGCCAATACATACGCTCCCGCTTCACATACCACACATACTGCTTCCCATCCCTCTCTGCTTGGGCAAAAGCAGAGGTATTTCGTTTTGTCTTCTTCAGAAGGTTTGCCTTTCAACATTTCACAGGAGATTGGATACACCTAGGAGCAATAAACAACTTGGAATGAGAGAAATGTATTACTTGCATGACTAGGAATGATGTGCACTCACGAGGCTTATAGGATTAGACCCTGAGAATTTCATAATCCTTAAAGATAACCACAGCTGGACAGAAATCATGTGTTCGACTAGAGACCCCTATTTTTCCCCAGGTCTCTACATAAAGCAATATGCTGTTGCTCACAGACGGCGTTAGCGCGTTAACATTATCGATATATTACGTTTAACCAGCTACCAGCCTAACTGCGCCCAGGGAAAGCCTCCCGCGGAGGGCCTGGCCCCTGCCGGAGCTCGCTCAGGGGCGAACCCGCCGCCTGCGCTCCGGGCCAGCCCGAGCCCCGGG